GCAATACCATTCATTTTTACTGACCTTGTATATCCATGTGAGGTCACTGTGACCCCTTCCAGGCCGATAGGCCACATTGTTCCCCAGGATCCCACAGATTGCACTGCATAGGCTCTTCCCTGTTGGAGCATTGGGCTACTATATTCCCCAATTCCCCACACTCGTAACACCGACCCCTTATCCCGGTTGTCGCCCTCTGCCTGGGGCTATTTGGTCGGCCCCCCCAGCCCTCTCTTCCCAAACCCCCAGGTCCCTTCTTGGCCTCGGGCCATTCCTCAGTGTCTTTCCTCCCAGTTATGGTTCTTCTGTAGTTCTCGACAATCCGGGGCCTTGGGTTTGGGGCTGGCTTCCTGGTTTGCCGTGTCTCACCCCCTGGGGTCTGGAACAGTTCATGGGCTGCCAGCTGTCTTTCCACGAGGCAGACCAACTCCTCGTAAGTAGAGGGGTCATTCTGGCCAACCCAAGCCTGGAGGCCTGGTGGTAGCCCCCTCATATACCGGTCCAGTACCAGGAGCTCCATCATTTTCTCAGAGCTGAGGGCCTCAGGGCTCAGCCATTTCTGGGTCAGGTGGATCAGGTCAAACAATTGCGATCGGGGTGCCTTGTCCTCTGTATACTGCCATTCATGAAACCTTTGGGCTCGCAACGTCGTAGTTACTCCGGATCTGGCCAGGATCTCTGCCTTCAGCTGGGGGTAATCTTCCGCAGTCTCTGCAGACATATTGTAGATGACCTTCTGGGCCTCTCTACACAAGAATGGGGCGAGGATACTAGACCACTGATCTTGGGGCCAGGCCTCCCGCAGGGCTGTTCTCTCAAATGCCAGGAGATATGCCTCCACATCATCCTCCTGTGTCATTTTCTGTAGGCAGTGGCTGGCCCATATAGTCCAGGTCCCATCGCAATTGTGGTTCCGCTCCATAAGGGCCTTCATCTGGTTTGCCAGCTCCTATAGCAGAGCTCGGTCCTGGGCAGCCTGATTCATCAACAGCCGATTAGTCTCCTTCACCTGAGTCGCCTTCTGTTGGGTGGTTGCTTGGAGTCAGGTAGCCTCCAGCTGGGCTGCAGCGGCTTGTATTAAAGCCTTGACCACGTCGTCCATCTTGGGGACGGGATGGTTTTGGCTAACCCTGATTTAAGTCCCCAGCGTGGAGATACCACTCCTGACACCACGTGTGGCAAATTGCCGGCACAATTATGATGGGTCCTGCGCTTCCTCTTCTTGTGGCGGGGAGGGGGGAAGGTTCAGGGCACACTTTTCTGCCCCTGAACTAGGGTGTCTACTGTCCCACTAGTAACCCAAAGAAGGGTAGTGGAAAGGGAGGGCCCGGGCCCGCCCTCAACTCCGGGTCCCAGCCCAGGGGCCCTAGGGATAGTGACAAACCACTTGAATTAGTGCTTCCTTCCCCTGGGCTACTTCCCTCTCCTGATCTTCAGCTGTGGGGTTTCCTGCCCTCTCTCTGCACAAGCTGCGTGTCTCTTTACTTAGGGTCTTGGTCTTCTAGCCAGCCACGGCACTTCTCCAAACTCTCCTCTACTTCAACTCCTCTAAACTGCTCTCTGCTCAGACTCCTTCCCCTGGCTGATTGAAGCAGGGGGTTTTTAATCAGGTGACTGGTTTCAGGTGCTCTAATTGGCTTCAGGTGCTTTTAATTAATCTATAGTAACCTTTCTTCCCTCTACAGGGAATAAGGCTTCTCCTCATCCTGGGGCTTACATATCTCTCCTATATCACTCTCCTGCTGCCTTCTGGCCATGCTGTATCACGAACTACATACACAAAAATGAATTTCTACTTATAAAAATTAGAAATTACAAATGTTTTAAAAATTCACCTGCAAATTCCGTTCTGCCTGAATTTCACTCTGGGCAAAGTTTCCATGCTTCAGTTAGGCATTTATACAGGCAGCCTTATTCAGAAGGAGATAATTGCAGCTGCAACTGATGTCAATGGGAGATGTGAGTACTCAGCACTTCTGAAAAGCAGGCCACTTGGGTATTTAATTTTAAACCACCTATATCTGAAAATTTTTGGTGGATGGAAACACATTTGGGTGCACCCAGGCACACATTTTGCTGCCTCTTGAGGTGATTTGTGAACTATTAATATTTTCAAAGTTCAACAAACTTTAATACAAAGGTGATAAAAGAGGAACTATTTACCAGCCACAGACTACCTACCCATATGTAAAACTGGTGAGAAAAATCTGACTCAAAACATTGGTTTGGGGGAAAAAAGGATTTTGAAAGTTCATCATTATGAAGATGTGACAGCTTTTAAGATATAGCCAGAGTGCTACACGTTTAAATGGCCAATTTAGAAAAGATAATTACAGCAAATTTTATTCAACCTCTCCTAAGCTTCTCATACCTATACAATGGAGCTCTGAACAAGGTGTGTGTGTTTGTGTGTGTGTGGGGGGGAGGGGGGTTTAATCCTCTTGTTTCAATTATTTGAGTATCTAACACTTGTTAGTCTCGTTTGTGTTTTATAAATATCATTTTTGTGTGGCTGAACTGTTATCCTAAAAGATATTACCTTATTCATCTTGTCTCTCATCCTACCCATGTTTTTTTTTTTAATGCACAATGTTTTATAAAGCAAAAGAACTGTTCTAGAAGGCAGTGGTAAAAGTCTATCAACAAGTGTAAAAGAAAGTAAGTTCACAGAACTACTGTATTAACAGTCTGAATTCAGTTGTAATACAAGTTGTTTAATAGAGAGTCTGGTTAAGCTTGTCTTCGGTTAACTTACATGACAATGTTACTTACTTGGGTCAAGACATTATCTTGGCAACAACAGGTCACCCACTGTTTACACTGATGAAGTGGGAAGTAGAATTAGAAGACACTTTAGACCATATCTAAACTAGGAGTGTTTTGCCAGTAAATCAATACTATACCTGCAATGTGTTCATAGTGAGGACACAACTTATACCAGCAAAACACTGCTTTTCCCAGTATAGCTTATTCCAGAACCCACCCTCCCCCCACAGCAAAATATGCTATGCTAGAAAAGGGCAGTTTTGCTGGTATAACTGCAGTTCCATCAGGGGTTTTTGTCAGCACAGCTATGTTGGTCAGAGATCACACCTCTTCATACCCCTGACAAACACTGATATGCTGGCAGAAGTTTGAATCATAACCATGGCCTTAATAAAATGTTACAAGCATACTGATGAATGCTTGCATTAATGAACTCATTAATGAATACCAAGATGCACGTACGGTCAACATAACAAAGTTGCTACATTTACTGACTCAACCCTACACTGACTCTTGACATCAAAGATCACCCAGTTAAAATACTGAATCCCATAACAAAGATCAAATAGATAGGATGTACCTCAGGAGCATTACGGCAATCCACTTTCAGTAACTGTCAGAGTACCAAGGTCCTGATTCCTTATCAAGTTCAGTCCAACAGAAAATGTGCTCTTCAAACTTGGATTGAATCAGTACTGTAACTCTCAATAAGCTCAGTTCATGCTATAACCCTAACATGCTAGAAATTAAAATTAATAGTTCACATTTTCGGAGGCTGGATACCTGAGCTCTTACTCAGTGATCTACTTGATAAGTATTATTTTCCAAAATGCATGGAATAGACTTTGCAAAGGCTAAAAAACTTTACTGTATATAAAAAGAAAAAATTAAAAGAAAGCATGTTCTGAATTTTAAAAAGTTTTCTAGTGTTTCACACTTCTGCAGCAGTTATCAACCTATCTTGAGGTTTCAAAGGACTTTGTGAACATCCATGAATATAGCTGATCAAAAGTTGTCAAAATTTTAACAAAATTTTGAACAAACAGGAGTGGGTGGAATTCTGCAAACTTTTAATTAAAGTTTCCCTTGCTTTTTGACCAGCTTTATTCATGAATAGAGTCTCAACAATCTTAGTAAGCAGGTAAATATCCTTATTTTATAGGTGAGGAAACAGGAGTAGAGATTAAGGGTCAGATCCTTGGCCTCTGGCCACAAACCACACAGCACAAAGGAGGGAGAAGGGCATTAAGTGAAAAGGCCACATAAAGCTCTCCATCTGCACTTCCCTAATTCCAGGCCAGCTGTGTGTAGGGCCAGTCCTGAGGAACAACCTAAGGACTGCTCTAAGTTATGGGAAATGCCTAAGGGCCCAAAATTGCAGCCAGATCATGGAATAGCATGGGGGGGAAGGAGAGACTTTCTTCTAATTAAGTCTCCTGTGCTGGCAGCAGGGGGTGGCTGGCTAGTATAGGAGTCTCTACACCTGCAATGATGCCCCACCCAGGGCCAGATACACAGGCTCTACACCTCAGCAATTATCATCATACACCAGCAATGATGTGGCACAATGTAACCACATCTCATACTGGGGATCTGCTGTAAATGATTTACTCACCACCACTCAGGAAGTCAGGGGGGAACCCAGGCATCCCCTCCCACTCCACACTGCCCCGGAGCCCTATGCCCTAAGAGACTCTTTACTGTAATCGAGAGAGTGTTTGTAAAGCACAACATAATTCAAGTAATATTTTCTGCCAATTTCTTTGCAATCCATCATGCAATTTTCCCCTTCAGAGCACACCTGGGTCAGTTTCAAATACTTTGCATGCCAAGAACTTCAGCTCCTACTTTCCAGAATACAGCTCCCTTAGAGCAAGTTCTCACAGCAAAGTTCACTGGCACACTGTATAGGGAAATAAAGGGACTGGGCAGATCAACACTATCACAGAAGGTGCTGAGATCCAGAGTTAATAGTGAAGTGCTCAAGAGACTCTAGATCATTCCATTACTACCAACTGGAAATGAGGTCACCTCCTGATAACCAAGGAGACAGGAAAATCCAAAGACCAGCAAAAAAATGCATTCTCCACTGCTCTCAAATGTATGTGATCAACAAGTCTTCCATTGGCAAGACAGCTTTGCAGGCGTGCTAACTCAAAGAAACCCTATACATTCAGGATACAGGAAAGAAAAAAGGCAAAGAAGGAGGGAGCTGAGAAACAAAGAACTCTTACATGTTTAAAAGATCCATGCGGGGCTGCAGTTGCTCCAGTGTCTTCTAGATACTCATCCCAATTGAATTCTGCTTCTTCCACTCCAGACCCCGCATCTAGAATAGAACAAACAACCTCAGTCTAGTATCTGACATGGATGTAGTACCTCTCAGAGTATGTTACTTGATTTACTGCTTTAATCACCAAACTAAATATATTTTTGGTTCCTCTTCATCCAACACCTTTTAACACAGTTTCTATTGTGAATGCATTAGTGGAAAGATCAAATGACAAGTCTGTGCCCGTGAAAAGTTACCTATAAATTGCAAGGGAATCAGTAGCAGCAGGTGTGGATTTATAGAGAAACTGGTAAAAGGTCTATTTAATTAGCTAATAAACTTACTGATCTGCTAGCAATTTTCTAGGCAAGCTTACAAACGGAGGAGATACCAGGAGAAAATTAAAGGGATTCTAAAGAAGCTTGATTTTTGTATCACAAATACTAATAAGAAAAGGGACTGTAGTAGACACTCTGCAACTGGACTTTACAAAGCTTCTGATGAGGTGCTGCAATGAAATCTAATTTGGCAGAGATTCAGTCATGGGCTTTCATATGAGCACTGTCAGATGGACTGAAAAGTAGCTGGAGAATGATACAGAAGCCAACAGGTAAAGCAAACTGTGAAATGCTCCAGGGCTTGGTGTTACATCTTTATCAGTGATTGGGAATTTAGGCAAAAAGGCATCATTTATCAACACTAACAAGGACAACAGGTTTTCAAATGGATTGAAAAATTATAATGGAGCTGGGCAAATAATAAAGAGGTAATTACTCTTTTTCCTTCAATTAATGGGTATATTTAGGTCATCTCTAGATAAAAATACTGAGAACATAAAAGAGCCTCACGCCATAAAAAAGCCTGGAGAAGGAAATAACCCAAAACATTGATATTCATTCATTTATGGAGTTACATTTACATCTGGCACTATTGTGATTACTGCTTTCAAACTACTACACATTTCTAAAGCATCAACAACATTTTACAGACAGAAAAACCAGATGAGAGTTTGCAAAAAAAAGTGTGTACATGTAATTTGATTCTGGGCTGCGTGCATAAGCCCTCATGTGGCAAGGAGGCTACAGGCCCTTTCCATGGGACATTAGTGAAGCAGTATCGCAATACCTAACAGAATCCTGAAAGACCGTTGGGTGGTTGGACCTTTGATCCACATGAGTGACCCTAGTGCAGGGGTGGGCAAACTACGGCCAGCAGGATTGCCACCCCAGTGGTGCCATGGGCCCCGCCTCGCTCAGGGAAGCAGCCAGCACCACGTCCCTGCGGCCCCTCGGAGAGGTAGGGGCAGAGGGCTTCATGCGCTGCCCTTGTCTGTGGGTACCTCCCCCGAAGCTCCCAGGGGCCGCGGTTCCCCGTTCCAGGCCAATGGGACCTTCGGGGTGGGGGGAACCCACAGGCAAGGGCAGAGAGCTCCCCATGAGGGCTTGTGCACGCAGCCCAGAATCAAATTACATGTACACACTTTTTTTTTGCAAACTCTCACTTGTTTTTTCTGTCTGTAAACTGTTGTTGGTGCTTTAGAAATATGTAGCAGTTTGAAAGCAGTAATCACAATAGCGCCAGATGTAAATGGGAACGGGGAACCGCAGCCAATTGGAGCTTTGGGGGAGGTACCCAAAGGCAAGAGCAGCGCACGAAGCCCTCTGCCCCGCCCCACCCCTCCCCCAGGGGCTGCGTGGTGCCAGCCACCTCCCTGAGCAGCACGGGTGCAGGAGGCAGCATGCCCTGGCCCCAGAGCGGGCTGCTACCACCCCCGAGCCGCTCCAGGTAAACAGCGCTGGGCCAGAGCCCAAACCCCTCCTGTAGGCACGTCCCCCAACTCCCTGTCCTGAGCCCCCTCCTGCACCCCACACCCCTCCTGCACCCCAGTCACACCCTACACCCCAGCCCCCTGCCTTGAGCCCCAGCCATACCCTGCACCCCAACCCTGTGCCCCCTGCCTGCACCCCAACCCCCTGCCACACCCTGCACCATTTCCCTGAGCACCCTCATACACTGCGCACCCCTCCTCTGCCCCAAACTCTTGCCCGGAGCCCCTTCTGCACACACTCCATCCCGCACCCCAACCTCCTGCCCCAGCCCTACATTCATCGGCCTGCAAGCAATTTCCCCACCCAGATGCAGCCCTCAGGCCAAAATGTTTGCCCACCCCTGTCCTAGTCCAACTGTCTAAATTTTTCTAGGATATAAGAGCAGACATGGAAGGGTTCAGTGTAGAGTACATGGAGCGAGCTGGCTCCAGCATAGCTGCAGCACTAAAACAGGAAACAACAAGCATTCTTTGCAAACTAAGGCCACTTTTTGTTCCGAATGAGAGGGACTTTAAATCCACAGCATTAGTAAATCTAGCTTAATTTTCCTGAGTGTAGACAAGCCCTCAACTAAAAGCGTCCTTCACTTTGGACTGTTTGGTATACCTCAGAGACAAGGTGGGTGAGGTAATATCTTTTATCAGACCAACTTCTGAGACAAGCTTTCAAGCTTACACAGAACTGACCTAAAGAGCTATATAAGCTCAAGAGTTTGCCTCTCTCATCAACAGAAGTTGATCCAATGGAAGATACTACCTCACCCACCTTGTCTCTCTAACATTAACAGTTGCAACACCGCAAACAACAACAGTGGTATGCCTCCTGCAAAGGAAGATCCGGAGTGTTTTGTTGGTATACAAGCTGTTCACATCTTTGGCAAAGGAGAGTTCATACTGATGCAGGCACTTAGAACGAGACAGAATTCTACATACATCCAGCCTTAATGATGTTAAGTTAGGGAGTATTCAGAAGGTACCAAGACAAGAGATGAATGGTCTTGAAAGGAAAGATTAGAAGACTGAAATGAATACTGATTGAGTAAACAGTGGCTGAAGAGGGTAAGGGAAGGGAGAGGCACCAAGGAAACGTAAGTGTGTCAACACCAAGGACAGAGAAGAAAGGAATTAGAGTGGTTTCAAGGGAGTACAGCTTGATACACCATTCAAGATGAGTCACAGGAAACACTGCCTAGTCATGAAGTCTGTTTGACAATGGAACAGCATCTTCAGAGAAGCAGGGAAGTCCCATTGCTGGAAGCATTTTAAAACTAGAATGGGCAAGAGACACTTGAGTACTTGTAACAAACACTGCACTGGTAAAGGAATGACAAGATGACTAATACAGTAAGTAGGACCTTCCCATCTCCAGTTTTATAGCTGATTATATAAACTGAATACCATGGCTGCATTTTATAAAGTAACTAAAAACATCAGGAAATTTTATATCTAGTTTGTAAACTAAATGCACATGAAGAAATATCATTTAGTACTTAGTTGTTATAACAAATATTACTTGTTTGGTAAATTCTAGGTGGGGCTCATTAAGCTTATTTAGAGGGTTGTATAGCATTAAGCATTTCCACACATTCAGCCCTTTTCAGACAGGTAATAAACACTCTTGCAGACAGAGTGGGTTGGGTGGAGAAAGCCACTTGTCCTACAAGTGATGAAATAGTAAGATTTTAAAACCATCTTATCTTATCACACCTTTCTGCCCTGAAAGCCAAAACAGATTCACTTCTTAAGCAATTTTTGTTCATTCAAACATAAAAAGGCATAGGCTTGTCCAAAATGGAAAACTTGAAATTCTTTATGTAAAAAACACAAAGAATATAACAATAAAGTCTTCAGTCTAACTCGGAGGTTCCTTTTTTCTGAACAGAGTAATAGTGTTAAGGGAGATGTTGAAAGGGTGATCCTTTGTTTTAAAGCACTTTAGTGGTAGGTATTCTACAGTGCTAGTGGGATTTCCTTCAAGGTTTACAAAAGCATGTCTCATTTGTTGATTGCACTTATTTGTTGATGGCAATACCTGCGCCAAAGGAACCTACTCTCAATCTGATTTTGATAATGGAAATAATCATAAGCTGGTCATATTGGCCTTGAGAAGTTTTAGAGTTCAAAATACTCAGATACTGAATATGAACTCAGTGGGGAAATGGGGTCATGGTTACTGGATGAACTTTTAGGTGACAGGCCTGGCTTCCTACACCCCATTTTGGGTGGAACCAAGGGGCACCAACTACTCAGACTGGATCTCTGGGCTACACCTGATTACCAACCATATTATAACATAGGTCCAACTCAGTTTTGGTACCTGTATGAGTTTCCCTGAAGGAGGCTATGAGAGCATAAATTTGCAGTGATACAGAAACAATATCTACAAAACAAAGCATTATTTATTAATTCCTCAAAAGGTACAAAGCATGAATAGCTGGGGGAAGCAGACAGCATCTGCCCATAGCATCTAAGTCTGTCTCCCTGTGTGACTTTTTCTTCCTGTCAGCTCTTCATTGACACAGTGGCTAGCATCTCCGAGCTCACCCAAAATCCTTCCCTTTCCCAGGGTCTTTGAGAGTTTAGAATTCCCTTTGATCCCAGACAGCCTTGGGAAAGAGTAAAACTAGCCTGGATGGAGTCAGTTTCTTCCCCTTCAGTGGCCCAGCCACTGTTATCTGAATGGAAGATGTGTACTGGAGGTTGCCTGATGCTTGCCTATGAATTTCCCCATTTACAGCCTCCTTTGATTTCAATACATAGCCAAGTAACCCTTCATAACTAAACAGAGGTCTGCAAAATATTTATTAAAAAACAACCCAGGAATTTCCTGATTTGTCACAAATGGGTCCTTATTTTGAAGGCACTGGTTGAAACCTGTAGGTAATGACTCCCATTTGAAGACAGCCCTAAAACAAACTGATTGAAAGTAAAGTGGTTAAACATAGGAATACTAAATGGATTTTGAGAATATGCAGCCACACTAAACTCACTGCTGAGCTGCTTACAGCACCAAAGTCTTATATAATGATGATCAGCAGATCACTGTCTAAGGGGCAGTTAAGCTCCTTAGAAGAGGCAGAGGTCACTTAACACACTGAAAGGGTCAATTAGTTTATGTTGCTACCTAATCACTACAAGGAACTCCAGGAAAGAAGCAGTGTTTGCCTGCTTTTCTAGGTATCATATACCCACTATTACAGTGCTGTCAGAAACAGTTCTGAATGAACTGGAACTGAGAGATGTGTCTATTTTTACTTCTCTAATATACATTGTCTGCTCTAAGCTGCATATGAGCTATTCACTCATCACACCTGTAGTAGAAAACCAGAAGCTATTATCTTCTACATTATATAAATCACTATTTTCAGCAAAGCATAACAAGCACAATAAATTACTGAAAGTGAACTTTGGAAAGAAATTACAAACTTTTACTCTCACTTTTGTGGAAGTGAGTTTAAGACTTTCCCTCCAATTTTCATAACTAAACTCTCAGTGTTGTAATGCTTTAAACTCTAGTGCATCATGTGACAAATCTGTCTGCCTTGTACCCATGTCTTTCTACAGTGCTGAAGTTTCCAGTTAATTTACTGTAGCTGTTACTGGGTGAATAAGAAACATGAAAAGCTTACTGAGTAATGTCCCCACACTAAAATGCCGCATTATGTTAAATAGGGAGAAAGGTAACAATTTCATTCTCCCCCATTGATAGATACATTATGCATGAATATATTCAGTGAACAAATGTCTTAATTTCTGCATTCAATTTCAGAGAATTCAGAAATACAGTAGAACCTCAGAGTTACGGACACCTCGGGAATAGAGGTTGTCTGTAACTATGAAATGTTTGTAACTCTGAACAAAGCACAGTTCAGGCTCCAGCTCCAGCAGCTGACACTCCAGGCCAGCAGCTCCCTCCTCACCACTGGCAGCTCCCTTGCAGGCAGCTTCTTTCCCGGAGGTCAGACCGAGTTTGCAAGCTTGTCTCCCTCCTAGCCAGGGGAGGGGATGAAAGCCGTGCAGACCCCCGCGCTGCTCCTGCTCGGCTGGCTCCAGCTGCCATGGGCTGGCAGCATCAGTGTCTTCACCTCCTAGCTGTAAGTGGCTGTCCCATGCATGGGAGTGGGGGGTGGTAAGGGTGGTAACAGGCAGCCCAGATGTGCCTACCTCTAAGATGCAATACACGTACAGTACAGTATTTGCTTTCTTTTTGTCTCTTCTGCTCCTTGATTGCTTATTAGTGTTCAATTGACCGGTCAGTCTGTAACGTATCTTTGAGGTTCTACTGTATTTAGTAAGTTTGGCTGAAGTCTGTCCCACTATGAAGGCTTAAGATAACAGGAAACCGTCAAATGTCAGCATTCAGTTGCTGTTTTATTTTTTGGTAAGGTAGTTATGACGGAGTAGGGCCCCATTTAAATTATATATTTTGATCTAGTCAGTTGGTGCATATAGGACCAGTTGAACTCAATTTGCATTTCAGACGTGTCTTGTGAGTTTATTATTTAATGTACTAATCAGTTTGAATTCAGACAATACAATAGAATCTTATTTATTTGTACTAATGAGTGATACCAACTGTGAAAGACTGATAAATCAGAAAGGGCCAGTTTTTTAAAAAGTATTTAGGCATGGCTGTGCTCAGCATTGTAATGCCTAACTGGTTTTAGAGCCTAAATTTCAGGAATTAGAAAAAAGTGGGGAAAAGACAGCTTTTTTGTGGCCAAATTATGTGTGTGGATTAGTAGTGTCAAACCAGCATAGTACTATTGTATATCACTTACTACCCAGAACTATTTGCATTAGTGTTGTCTTCAGTATCAAATGTTTCCGCATTAATTCTGCCATCTGTTTGACTATCCATCCTGTGATACAACAGGAACACAGGGATATTGAATTCCACCACTTGACACTGTTACTATGTGAAGAAGGTGGTGAAATGACACACTAGAGTTTCATTCAGGTCTTACCAAGGAAGAAGTTCAACTACAGGTGCTCTGCTTTAAATCTGGACCTTTGCCCCATGTTAATTCTCGTGGCCAATAACTGTCATGCATAATTAATGTGGGTTAGTTAGAAGACTGTCAGACGGATAGAGTTAAGTACATCATACTACAGTGTGCAAGACGTGAAATTAAGGCTAACTTCAGACTCTCTCAGTCTGAAACCAAGTTCTAACCACCAGGTTTTTCAACCTGGTTGTAACTATGGTTAGTATCCTTGATCAATATAATTAGTTAGGCCATAATTAAGTGAAGTCAGGTTGGGATTCTGGTAGCTGAAAGACCGAAAGTGACAAGAGTAGGCATTGTCTTTTCCTCCTGTGGCATGGGAAAGCATCCCATCTCTCTGATAACAGTCCACATTCTCACACTGGGAAAGAGTTGGCAGGAAAGAAAATAGGACAGAGGCTATTTTCAGTTACCTTAAAGGAGGAGAGGTAAAGGAGAAAGCAATTTAAAAGTCATACACAAGAAAAATTAAATCAGTCAAAGGAGAAGATGGGGGGGGAAGGGGGAAGTCCCAATAAAAATCTGTCAAAACGTATATTTATATTGTAGCAGCCTACAGTTTATAAACAAATTCAGTGTGCTATGAGTGCAGTAAGGGGACGAGGGTGTGACTAAAAGCAGTGTGATTGAACTGAGGTTAGCACATCTTGTTAATTATTTGGTTTTTTTGTGAGGGTGAAGATTTTCAATTAACTATTTTGTTAACACTTCTGAAGAGAGGACTAAGGTAGAAATGCCTTTTACAACAACAAGTGACTGAAGGAAGGACCTGACAGGTATTAATTCACTATATTCTGTCTATATTTTTCAAAAAAGGTAAATACAATTGTAATTCTCAAGTAAATAGAGGTGAATAAATAATGCAAAAATAAACCCCTCTTTAAATTTTTAATAAATTTACTTTGACTATGTGACCATGTTTGCATCTCGTGTATTTATTTTGTGAGCAAAAGTGTTCATTTAAAGTGAATTTCAAAAGTTGCATATGACAGTATTCATGGAAACTCAATTTGAAATTCATGCCAGAAATTCTCACATGCTTACTGTACTCAAAACAATACTATGTGATTCAGACAAAAATCACAACTAAGTAACACCTTGAATTTAGAATATTTGCAGTTGAGCCATGGTGAATGGAAAGACAGAAGATTCAAGAAACAATGAAATGTTTACAGACACTCCGTAAGTATCAGAGGCTAATGGCACTTACCTTTTTTTGGCAAAATAAAAATCCAGTATGTGCCTTAATGCACAGACATGAGTTTTTGACCTCTGTACAGCCTTAACATTTGTTATGATCTTTTCAGAGTCAGATAACTATTTTTACCCTTTCTTTTTTGCACATGATACCTGTTTATGCAAGTGCTTTAGAAATCTTTGGCTGCTACTGTAAAACTGGTTTGTATATGCCGGGTAACACTTATCCCACCTCTCTGTTGCTCTTTTTTGTTCATCTAAGTATACTTCAAAGGGAACAAGGTTAGCAGCAGGCTATCTGTGATTATTTCTCAGAGATCATATGTCATGGTCAGGTAAAACGTTTTTGCATGCATTGTATGTAGTCATTTTTTTGCACTGCTACAGTAGCAGTAACAGTAATTATACTTTCCTAAAGCAATGTAGGAAACTACAATAGCAATGGTAGAGGGGAAATATTTTCTTTGGTACTTTTCCTTGAGGCAAAGTGAAATTTGGAAGGTAACCTGGTCCAGTGGTTTGACTATGGGACCAGAAATCAAAATTAAAGACTACCCAAAGCTCTTATTATTTTATTTGTATTAATATAGTTCCTAGAAGTCCTAGTTAAGGACCAGCCATTGGTGCCAGGTAATGTACAAAGACAGAGGAAAAGGATGGTCCTGGTCAAGGGTGCCAGAATGGGGGAGTTAAGGCTCCATCACTTTTAAAAGTGGGAGGGCTACGCATACACATACAAAACAAGATAAAACTTAAAATATACTATCAATACAGGTGACTTTAAATCTTATTAAAATATGTAGAATCTGTTTGGCCCATACAAGGTTGTGCTTAGGTTTGTGTGGCCCTCCTGTGTAATAAGGCTGGGCATCACTGGTGTAGACACAGCTTCAGTACAAGACAAGAGACAACAGACGGGTATAGACAGATGGAGGAGTACAAGGAAACGAGACAATAATGGTCTGTGTGATAGACAATGATCTCAGCACACCAGTGGCCTAACTGTTGTCAAGTTTTTTGTTTTTTTTTGGTAGGCATCATGGCAGAGGGCAGTTTTGAGGAGAAGTTTGAAGGAGAATCGTGAGTGACTGAAGCATACCACTCAACTTTTGTAGTTCAGCTTATATAAGAGTAAACATGAAATCATTTTGACTTACTTCACAAGGGTATCAGGAAACTTAGTTTATATCTGCAGCATGTTTTAAGTGTACAAAATATTTTTTATCATAATTGCTCTGCCCTTTTCACTCTCCCACCCCCAAATAAGACTTCTCTGTTCTAAATGGAAGCAACATGTGTGAATAGCCCATATTTACAATGCAAAGAAAAAGCTCACTTTTTAAAATATCATTTCTTAACATAGGGCCAGATCATTGTTTCCTTGATACTATTTGGGGAGTAAGGCACTACTGAATATGTGCAAGGAAATTGGAATTTATCCCATAGTAATTGCAATGTGAAGCTACTCCCTTATACACAAAAATTAGTGTCACGCACTTTTACTGAAAACATTTGCACTCATTTGCTGATCCTATTCAGCTTGGCTGTAAAATGTCTGTGCAGAGAGAGCCTCTAGCCCTGGGCTCATCAGTGGTACTACCTGCATCATGCTGCTGTTCTCCATTCATTTCCACAGCAATCCAGCAGTAATGCGCAGTAGCAGGAAGTCTTGGGAGCCAACCCTGTCACTGTTTGGTGCTCATGTGCTGTTTCCCACCTTTGCTTCTACAGACATCCAGGAAGTTCAAGCAAGAACACTAAAAAAACAAGCAAACAACAACAACAAAAAAAAACAAGAAAGAAAGGAGGCTCAAAGCTTTAAAAAAAAAAAATCACTTTTTTTTTTTTCCAGACGCAAGACAAGTGTTTGGCTTACTGCTGAGGAAAATGAAAGGGGAACTGTTCACTTTAATACATTTTTTCAGCTAGTGGCCCTCATTTTTCTCATTAGTAAAGCCAGTTTGACATCATGAATTTGTGTTGCAATAACACATACAAAAAAATCTGCTCTCCAACCCACCTTCAAATGGATTACAAGAGCATGATAGATCCCAGACAGTGGCATGTGGTATGGGACTCAGCAAGAGATATGAACTATCAGCACAGATTTTTTTTTAAACTACTACTGTTTATCAAACTGTACATATCTCACCTGTTATACAGCTCAACTCCTCTCCTGTTTCCAATGGAAAGGCTGGACAGGGCCATATTCTGTCAGTTTCTTGGCTTTGATACCTAGATTGCCAGCCACCTCAAGCCAATGCCCATTTTACTGATGGGAAACTGAGCAGGGTGAGTGACTTGCCCAAGGTCACACAGGAAGTCTGCTGCAGATCAGGGACTTGAACCCAGGTCTCCCATGTCCCTGGTCAGTGCCCTAACAAAAGGCCATCCTTCCCTCCCTCTGATCACAACTATATAAGTGAAATGGACAAGTAACATCCCTTGAGTCAGTGTCACTGAGATCAGAATCTGGCCAACTATATGTCCATTTAAGGATATTTATTTTAAACATTTTAGCAACACACCTTTCATAAGTCTTCAAGGAATTCAGCAATGCTGGTCTTCTGTCACAATGTTATTAAACAAAAAAACTGCTTAAAGATCTTAGCCAATGAGCCATCACTCCCTCACTTTAACAGGATCAACAGAAATAAAACTAGCAAAGCCATTTTGCTGCAAATCATCTATTAGGTCTGTCTAGTACCTGAATACTATGTCTTTTTATACAAATTTAAAAAACTGTTACATTTCCATGCACCAGGATGGAGGACTTAATTGCCTTTTCATGTATATTCTTTTACCATATCATTTTTAATGATTTTATTATCATAAAATATAAAGGAAGATATTTCTTTAGCAATTCATTTAACTAATATATTTCACTTTGTGGTGCATAAAAATGTTACTTTAAAATATTAATTTGAGAGGCATCTGCTGTCCTGAAACAGATTTGCCCAGCTCTGTGCATGGAAAGTTAATATATTTTATTTTACTGCTAGGGTGCTTAAAGGAGTACTCATTTTCATAAAAAGCCTAGATTACCATTCTCAAAAGCTTAAGAGTACTACTGTTATATTTATCAGCGACTGGAAGCCATCCAATAAAGTACTAATTTCTGAAGAGACAGGTGTCAAACTTCTCAAAACATGACAAACTTTCGTCATGCCTCACAAATGCACTCCATGTAAAAACCTGGTGGAAGATGGGTAATTATTGGCTAAGTTCTAATGCAGTAAGGATAATTATATTTTCCCCTGTAAACAGAGTGAAGTGTTTTCTTGCTAGGTAAACTGAAGTCCTCAATCACCAGTGAAGCGTGATCAGACTATGCAAAGTGCCACCCAACACATCGCTGTCTAGTTTAGTTATGTTAAAATTATAAGGGACAAGTTTCCCACTGGCATAAGTGGGTGTAAATCCACTTAGTTAATTACTTGAAGTGACTTTTGCACATCAAATCACTGCCTTTGCTAATTGCACTCAAGAGTTGCTTATGGAGAAACTGTAAGGACAGCTAAATTTAAATGTATTCTGTCATGCAGTAAGTTACTGCTTCACACTACTGTATAATACAGAAAATGCATCACATTTTGCTGCATATGAAAAACTCCCAAGGGAATATAGCTCCTAACTGGCTGCAAACCTTGATCATTTTCTCACCAACCTTTGAAGTTTTCAGCAAAGCACTTTAGAATGAGCTTAAGACTCACACAAGTACGATTTAAGCATGTAACTAACTATGACTTGCTGCACTGGAGCCAATTCATGAACAGGTTCTGAGAAAGTAATGATACCTACTTGACTGCCTCGGAGCCAGAACAAATGAAGCTACATTTATTTGAAGAATCAAGCTGTCATTTTTTCCCTCTCGAAAAAGCCATTTCCAGCAGTACATCAAGTATTGTGAAAAAAAAACCCAAGCATCCAAAATGTATCGAAACCCCAAAACATGATTGACTTCTAAATCAGAAAACATTTTAAAAATACATGAAGGGTACTTTTTATTTGCATTCTGGTTTGAGTTTTAGGGTGCCCCTGATTCTCCATAACCACAAATACTAGAAACTTGCTTTTAAAACGAAAGCGGAGGGTCTTTCCTAATCACATACCTCCAGAAGCTGGGGGCTTTAAGGAAAAACACCAAAACTCAACGTGTGAGCTGGCAACTGTATGTCTGCTCCAGAGACAACCCTACCATTCTTACAATTAATTGTTTAAATGTGTCTTTTTTTCCTACACTACTGGGTGAAAGACCCATGCAAACAAGTGAAATGACTATCAAGAGGAAAACAGTAAAACTGACTTTAATCAAGATCATGAAAATCACAAATTAAGCCTTTTAAGGTGCTACCACTTAAGAAAACCCCAGAGTTAGTTAAAAAAAAATTATAAGTGAGTCAGAGGAAGTTTGTACCCTGGACATCTATTTAAAAAAAAAAAAAGAAAGATTTTCCATGGGTCTGTCATTTTCACATTAAGTCTGAATGGGACTGAATCTTTACATAGGCTATAGTTTTAGCGAGTTAATTGTCAACTAATCAAGTTAACATGATTGTGAATTAGAACTGGTTAGAAAATTCAGATCACATTTTTTCATCATAGTTTGCCAATTTATCTAAATCAAAATATTTCACAGAGATGTTTCTGCTGTGTCTGGAGCTTGCTTGGTTTCCTTCCAGCTTACCTGCCTGTCTCCTTGGCAGTCCAACAGAGAGCTCTCCCAGGGCCCAAGGCTCTGGGGCAGCCTGTTAGGCAGACTGCCTTGGAGTCAGGGACCCCAGGGTTTCTGGGATGCCTGGCTCTGGGGTATTCCACCAAGTGGACTGATTCTGAATGAAGGCACCATTTCCTTTCATAGAGTATTTTGAAAATGTTGGTTTTCATTCTGAATTGCAACAAACCCAATATTTGCAGGTATCAAAATCCTCCATGAAAAATAATTGACTTTGTCTGCCCAGCTGTATTCCAAAGGTGAATCTAGACACTTCATAAGTGTGTGTGTCCTGAAACCACCATTTGTTGAGAGTTTAGATTTATCACTTGATGATATTGTACAATGCTCTCAATTAAACTTCAGTTACAACTCAACTAAAAACAATAGCCTAGACAAAACCATAGAGAGGTCTTGTCTACAGTGTTTGCAGCAGTTTTAGAAATAGTTAAATTGGTACAAATAGTTGTGCGCAGGCAACTTTTCTGCATCAAATATCCATTCATGAACAGGTATGAATGAAATTGTTAACAGATAATAAAAAGAAACTAATACGTCTAAGCTAAGGAATAAATAAGACAATTAAAACTGTTTGATGGTGTTCTACTAGTTCTGAGGTACAACCCCAAAAAACAAACGAGTCCAATTTTTTTTACATTAGTTACCTTATGGAAAGAAATAGATGTGCCAAGATTTAAAAATCAAGTAATTCAGAAACAGCCCTCAGCAAATATCAGTTTACTCTCTACAGAAGTTTACAAATTGTAGAAAGTTACAAAAGTAGATATAGTTACCAAAATTCAGCATACTAATGCATGTCATTTAAATGGCAAATTCCTGCTACAATGCTTCTACTTACGCCTGGTCTACACTAGGCAGGGAAGGAAATCAATCTAAGTTACGCAACTTCAGTTACTTGAATAACGTAGCTGAAGTTGACGTAATCAGATCTACTTTCCATGGTGTCTTCACTGTGGTAAGTCGATGGCTGATGCTCTCTCGTCGACTCTGCCTGGGCCTCTCGCCCTAGTGGGAAAGCGCTCGGTGGTCGATTTATCTCGTCTAGACTAGACACGATAAATCGACCCCCGCTGGGATTGATCACTGCCTGTTGATCCAGCGGGTCATGTAGACAAGCCCTTAGTCTAAACCATATATCATTTATCTCCATAGGCCTGAAGTGGTGTGGGATGCTGGAAGATGAGGCTACCCCATGGAAAAACTATAAAATATTCTGACTCTACCATCGAGTGCCAAACAGAATACATTTATCATAGTTTCTTGTAAACCAATATATTTCTTGGGATTGGCAAAAGCTGGTAATACATTTTTGTGTTCAAACTGTCATAGTACAAAACCAAATAGGGGGACTTGGCACAAAATGGAGTGCTGTTAATCATTACAGTCTCACATGCTTTGAAATGAAGCCCTACTACCTTAGGACCTGGTCCTGGAAGCTCTACTCACATAGATAGTTTAATTAAATTAAACTTTCACAATTTATATTACCTAGCTCTCCAGAGTATCTTCCACAACTAAAACAGAGCAAAATACATACCTAAATGTGTATAAATTTAGGAACCTAGTAACATGTAAACACGTAAATCACGCTACTATTTTATTTTAGAGACGCTGAATACCCACAGCTCCTACTGAAGTTAATGTGAGTTTTGCCCTAGTAAAGTCTGAGTAAGGTCCTCTTTATTTAGCAAGAAGCACTGATTTTTTTATACAGACAGAACTGGAAGTCAGCTGAATTACCAATAGGAATATGAAGTTCAAACCCCCCAAAATATCCCTTGGCTAAATCTAGCCTCGACATCCAAAAAAGAGATTACAAATGACAGAAAAGAACCCAGCCTCTGGAAGTAGACTGCAACATACAGCACTTATTTCAGTATTACAAACCTTCCTAGAACTCTTAACTGCATATTCTGTGACACATGATATGTTCAGTGGGATGGCAACAACTGGAAGCAACATTAAAACCAATTACAGTTCATTAAAGCCAGATGGCTCACTTGAATATGAAAAGAAATTCAA